GACCGTGCGACCTCCTCGCGGTACATCTTGGGTTACGCTAACGCCGGCGGTAACCAATGCGACACACGCGCATGCACGCAAACTTCTTTTTTAGGTCATGTTAGCGCGTTGAAATTGTTTAGCACACCTTTTTTGTAACGGACTGTTGATCGGACTGTTACACCGCCAAAAATCGCTGTTTTTCACCTACATAACCTTACTTTCTTGAAAATCCTGACGTGTTAGAGCAAAATGGGGTCTTGTTTCGATTTTAGCTACCCAAAATCTATAAAAATTGTTTACTGCGGTCCCAGTTGCTCTCTCCGAAAAAATTTTTTTGTGGTCCTGTGTAATTACAGGGGTCCCAAGATTCCCCCGTTTTCTCAAGTTGTACACGACCCGTATAGATTGTGGGCTATGGCGGTGAAGGAAACACTGAGTTTGAATTGTTGACAAAATATAATAAGATATATTTAGAAAATATAACAGAGTAATTTTAAAACATATTTATAAGCTAGTATGGTAAAAGTCAATAATCACATAAATCAAGATATGATAATACAATTCCCATTGTAATAATCCGTTCAATAAAAAGAATGTAAACATTAGTTGAACGTATACTCTCCGTTTGAAACTTGAGACGTAAATTAATATTATATATTACAAAGTAATTTCAAAGAAAGAATTAATATTTGTATGAGAGCTTTGAATATATCTTTAAATTGTTTTAATCACTGAAAAGACCATTGGACATGACAAAATATAATACCATAATCAATAAATAACCAAAATAATCATGCACATATTAGCACAATAATTTATAAGTAGAATAATGCGTTTGTAACGATGCGCCCCTTACGTCAAGGCATCGTCCCCGGCTACCACCCGCCGGGAACCGCCCGACCGATCCCCCGTCGGGCGAGGACAGGGCGCGGTGCGCCCACATTTTTTTAAGAATTTGAAACGCACCGTGTGCGCGGGAAATCCGCCGCACCGGTGCCTTCCCGCACGACGCCGACGAGCGCCGAAGCGAGCCGATCCCCGCCGAAGCGAGCACGCGGGATCGCGCCGCTCCCACCACCGCGCCGTCGCCTGACGATCGGCCTCCCTCCTGCCAAGCTCACCGCGCCGAGCGGTATAAAAAGCCGGCGCGCTCGACGAAGACACACTTCGTCTATACCACGGCTCTCCGCTATTCCTGACGAAGCTACCTTCCGAATCTTAGGGCGACACGCACAACGAGGTCCAGAGTTCTGGTCCTCTACTGAGGGTTCTCAGAGTGTTTCCGAGCTCCCTGACACTTACCCCGACGGCCACGGCACCGTGGAGTCGAGCGTGCTCGGCCTCGCAGCGAGGGTTCTCGCGACCGTAACCCCGGGATTCCGCCATCCTCCGGTGCAATATACCGCGCTTCGTTACGTATTAATCTATCATATACCGCGTTTCAGTATTTCGGCACACCGGCACTGCCGATAATTGTATATAATATCTATAACCGCGTTCCATTATCTTATGTATTAATTCCGTTCATATATCATATACTGCGTTCTGATATCTGTAGCCGCGTTCCATATGTAATATACCGCGTTCCGTTATTGTCTTATACCTTTATACCGCGACGAACTCCGTTCGCATGTAATATACCACGCTGCGTCATTTTCCCGTAATATACGGCAACGAACTCCGTTCGTATGTAATATACCGCGCTTCGTTATGTATTACTCCCCTGTAGCGCGATTCTGTAACTCGTTATGCAGTCGTTATGTGCTCATAACGACAGTTTTTGGTTCGTTATATAACGAGATGTCCTGTAACGACAAATGCGATTCTGTAAGCAAGTGTCAACAAATTTCGTCGTTATTTGTACCAAAAAGCATCGGTAAATTGTCGTTATGTGTCGGTATTATAACGAGGAGTCCGGGACCCCTCGCTATCGTGTAACGACAGTTACAAGTCATTATAGAAGCGTTCAGTGTACATGAAAATTCTGTACGTGTGCGTAAAAAAATGTATATTAAAGAAAATCTTTCTACGTGAATGATAGGTGTGCATTCAGGGAAATTGGTGAGTAAAAATTTCTATTAATTAGTTCCATATAGTTTATGTGTACCCATATCTCAATATTTTATAACCTATTCAACGTTAATTATGTCTTGCTGAAATAAAATTGTCTCACTTCTTTCCATATTCCAATCACAAATTCTTATTTTTATAAAATCATCAGCGTTTCAACCGCTGCTTGCGATCTTTATTAAAACCGTGTAATAATTAGAAGTACAATATTTATTTCAATTATTCCCTTTATTGTGTATATTTTATCACATGTAATAATATCAATTATCATATAAGATATAATTGTTATTTTTACATGCGTTCATTATTTAATATTATTTCCTTCAAGTAAAAAGCAATAAAAGAGCGTGGTATCAGGACAGAACTTTTGCATTATATGTAGCATAGGGTGCATTCCGTCATTCCGTGTCACGCATGATGCGCATGATATGCATATCATTAATCCTTTTTTAACATTCGGTGAATAACAAGGATAAATGATGTATTATGCGTGAAATGGAATAAACCCTTAGTAGACACAATTTGGGATATGTTATATTTTCTTAAATCAAGACTGTGGTAATTTGCAGTGAATATGGCTCTTGAGTATTTAGCGTGGAACTTAATACTGCTGCAAGAAAGGATACGTCGATTAGAACGGCGTGTAGAGAGAAGACATCTGAGAGATGCTCAGAATCCGTTTCATCTCCCACGAAATGAATTTATCAACTATTTTCGCCTTACTCCAGAACTTGTGATCCACATAACAAATGAGATACAAGCTGATTTACAAAGCGAACGAATTGCCGGCATAACGCCAGAAATAAAAGTATTGATTGCTATACAATTCTACGCGCAAGGCAGCTATCAAAGAAGTATTGGTAATCAAGTTGAATTAAATGTTAGCCAGACAGCAACAAGTCGTTGCCTCCATGCTGTGACAAATGCGATCAATCAGCGCTTGTTGCGTAGATGGGTGAAATTCCAAATGACCGAAATAAATCGGCAGCGAGCACGTGAAAAGTTCTCAGTTGCTGCACAGCCATTCGAAGGTGCCATAGGTGCTATAGATTGCACTTTTGTTCATATCTTAGCCCCTCATGAACACGAAGAAACCTTCGTTAATCATCATGGTAACTATTCCCTGAACGTGCAAGCTATTGTTGGCCCAGATATGGAGTTGCTTAATATCAATGCGAGATATCCAGGTGCACGAAATGATGCATACAACTGGAGTACATCACCGATTCGGCGTGCCATGGAATTTCATTACAGAAGAGGGGAACGGAGAACCTAACTGATTGGTCAGTCTCATTAAATGGATATACTTGCACTTTGAAATACTTTGTCACAAAAACTAAAATATTATAATATATTTAAAAATATGCATCTTTATATTTTCATTAGGTGATGCTGGATATCCATTGGAACCGTGGCTCATGACACCTTTGGCCGATTTTCCCGAAAACACCCAACAATTCCAATACACACAGCAGCTTTGCAAAGCAAGAAATGTTGTTGAACGTTTCTTTGGTGTCTTCAAATCCGTATGGAGATGCCTTTCCTATCAACGTGTGTTAATGTATGAACCATCATTTGCTGTCAAAATAGTAAATGCATGTGCAACATTTCATAATATGAGAATTGAACACCGTTTACCTTTTGACAAATTCCATGAACCGATAGCTGCTGATCATCATCAAAATGGAAATGCTGGTCTTATGAATGATAATGAAGGTGCAGTACTTGAAAGAGAGCCACGCGCTTTGGCTAAGAGAATTCAGCGACAAATTATGCGGGAGAGATTTCCCAATTTCCGTGACGCAGAAAATTAAGAACGTGCTTAAGATGAGTAACAGTGATTGATTGCATCAGTCACTGCATAAATTCAATGAAATTTATGTTTCCAAAATTTTTATTTATTTATATACATATATATATACATATATATTTGATCATGTAATAAATTTTATACACATACAATGGTGTACGTATTTACTTCTAATGTATAACAAAAGTAATACTTTTTGACATTAATTAATAATAAATGAATTTTGTAGCATTAATAGAGTTAAAATAAATAATACTTTAGACAAAGTTTACGTGAATAATATAATAATGCTTTACATAACGCTATTTTAAACTAAA